GGAATCGAACCCAGGGCCTCATGCATGCAAGGCAAGCGCTCTACCACTGAGCCACCTTCCCAGCCCCATGAAGTTTTTTCTTTATTGCTGTTTTTGTTTTCTTTTTTTCTTGTGTGTTCATTTATTTCCCTTTGGGAGGGTAAGGGGAGACAGAAATGCAGGGACAAAACGTGAACAAAAACAGCAATGGTACTCAGTAGACGCTATGTTGAAAATGAACTGTAGAACTTGTGGGTGGAGATGGGAGGGAAAAACTAGAGAGAGCTGAGGAAGGCGTGACATTGTCCAAAAAGAAATGTACGTTTTACCTGACATCACCTTTATAAAAACAACTTTAAAAAAGAAAGAAGATGATAAAATTTTGCTATAGTATTCTTTATGTTTTCCTAAGACTCTGAAACCCAATATGTTGTACACTTAGAACACAATTCTAATGAGCCACAGTGTAACTGGCTGGTGGCTACACTAGACAGCACAGTTGTAGAGTGGCAGCAAGTAGGTGATTAACTTCCAAATCAAGTTACTAGAAAGTATTTTCTCTTTGCAAGAAATATAACTTCAGAAGTGGTGCTGTGGCTCAAGTGGTAGAGTGCTTGCCTTAAGCTGAAGAGCTAGGGATAGCTCCCAGGCCCAGAGTTCAAGCCCCACGACTGAAAAAAAAAATATATATATATATACATATATAACTGCTTTATTTTTCACAGGAAAGGAATTACCAAACCTGCTCTTAATCATCATCCTCTTCCAGAGAAAGTGGATGAAGTCTCCTCTCCCAATGACAGCCATGAAAAGGATACAAGTTCTCAAAGGTAATAACACAGTGTACTTGTTTGCTTGCTTATTGCACTTGTCAATGGCAAAGGTTTTTTGTTTTGTTTTGAAGTAAGTGGTATCAAACCTGTGCTAATAAAACAATGTCTATGACTTGGAGAAGCTTTCACAGAGAACTGCCTGAACCTATGAATTCAAGGACATTCTGGCAATAGTGTCAGACATTTTCAGTACTATCACTGCTATTTAGTTTTCACTCTGGGTTAGCTGTTTGCAACAACATTATTTATTTTCATAATATTTGAGAATTGATTATGAAGTAGTTAGGAAGTTGGATGCAGGAGATGTCTGGTATCTGATTTTCAATCCTAGTCCTGTTGTTTATTTGCTGAATAATTTGGGGCAAATTAGTTGGCAATGTATCATATCTATATGAGGTTATGACTAAATGAAACGTATACTTAAAAAAAGTATGTATGGATTGACACCCTGTTTAGCATCTATAGTAGGTGCTGAGTAAATATTAACTGAATTTTTTTGTTGCTTTTTAATTTTTTTGTATATATTTTTATTGTAAAAATACTGTACAGAGGGATTATAGTTACATGAGTAAGGTAATGAGTACATTTCCTATCAAGCGTTTTACCTTCTCCTTTTTTTTCCCCCTGCTATCACTTCCCTCCTCACCTCCCCATTAACTGCAATTATTGCTTTAAGAAATACAAATCAAGGGGCTGGGAAGGTGGCTCAGTGGTAGAGCACTTGCCTTGCATGCATGAGGCCCTGGGTTCGATTCCTCAGCACCACATAAGCAAAAAGAAAAAAGCCGGAAGTGGCGCTGTAGCTCAAGTGGTAGAGCACTAGCCTTGAGCTGAAGAGCTGAAGGACAGTGCCCAGGCCCAGAGTTCAGGCCCCACAACCGGACCCAAAAAAAAGAAATAGAAATCAAGCCCGGCGCCAGTGGCTCACGCCTATAATCCTAGTTACTCAGGAGGCTGAGATCTGAGGATCTTGGTTCAAAGCCAGCCCAGGCAGGAAAGTCATGAGACTCTTATTTCCAATAAAAACCACTAGAAAACCAGAAGTGGCGCTGTGGCTCAAGCGGTAGAGCGCTCGCCTTGAGCTGAAGAGCGCAGGGACAGTGCCCAGGCCCAGAGTTCAAGCCCCACAACTGACCAAAATAAAAACAAAAACAAATCACCTGCATACCAGTGGCAAATAACTACAATCTAGCTGCTCAGGGGCTAAGGATCAAAGTTAGAAGCTAGCCTGGACAGCCAAATCTAAGAGACTCTTGTTTCTAATTAACTAGCTAGAACTGGAGGTGTGGCTCAAGCAACAGAGTGCCAGCTGTGAGCAAGAAAAGCTGACAGCTAAGTTCAAGTCCCAGTACAGCAAGACCCTACCTTGAAAATAACTGATGTAAAAAGGGCACAAAGCAAGTGGTAGAGCACCTGCTTAGCTAGCACAAGCAAGCACAAGAAAGCAATGTTATCACAGAAAAAATACAAGGTATAAAAACAGGTTTTAAAACCTCAAACTAAATCACTAATTCTTTGTTTTTTAAGTGAAACTGGCTAGGGTCTACATCATATGTAGTAACAAAGATTAATTGAGATTAAGATCTGCAAAAGTACTCAGTAAACTATTAAAGTGTCATAACTTGAGAAACTACATATAATTCTGACTGGATACATAAATGACATGCTAAATTATAACCCCTATGTACAACCATTGGAAGATTAAAAATAAACAGCAGCTGGAGCTGGTGATTCAGGCCTGTAATTCTAGCTACTCAGGAGACTGAGATCTGAGATCAAAGCCAGCCCCAGAAGGAAAGTCTATGAGATTATCTCCAGTTTACACCAGAAAACCAGAAGTGGCTGTGACTCAAAGTAGTAGAGCACTAGCCTTGAGAAAAAGAGCTCAGGGACAGTGCCCAGACCCTGAGTTCAAGCCCCATAACAGACTAAATAAATAAATATGTCTGAAATACCTTTAGAAATAATTAGAGTATGTTATATAATACTAACTACTCATTGTAAACTATGAATAGAATTATTTGTAATGGCTGTCACCAATTCTATAGTAATTAGGTAGGATTTTCCTACACTTGAATTTCAAGTTCTTTTTTTCTTGTTCCTTTATATTGTACTTATGCTAATAACCTGATAAGTTGCAGAAATTTGAGGAAAGTTGAGAATTTTTCTTTTTCTTTCTTCCTC